CCATGGTGCAAGATAAGAACTAGATTCTAATGACATTGCAATGTATTACATAAGATATACTACATGGGCTGAAAAGTCTTTGGCTTAACAATGAAAAAACGATTTTCTTAATGAAAAAAGTGTTTTATTCCTCGACATAATCTCCATTTAGAGTAATGCACTTAGTGTAACGGTCCGCTAACATTTCGATGCCGGTCTTATAGTGCTCGGTGTCAAGTCCCTCAAAATAGGCATTTGTTTCCAACTTGACCTCCTCATTCGAGTAAAATCTTTTACCAGCGAGCCACTGCTTCAGTCGGGGAAAAAGGAAATAGTCGCTGGGGGCCAGGTCTGGAGAATACGGGAGATGCGGGACCAATTCATAGCGCAATTTCTTTAATTTATCGGTCGTGCCGAGTGAGCTGGAGCATTGTCTTGGTGAAACAAAATTTTTTTCTTTGCCAAATGTGGCCGTTTGACCTTGACCTCGTCGTCCAATCGATCCAGTAATGTACAGTAATATTCTTTATTGATAGTTTTACCATGTTCAAGATAATCAATGAATATTATGTTATGCGCATCCCAAAAAATACTGGCCAAAACCTTGCCGGCTGATTGTTGTGTCTTCGGGCGCTTCGGACGGCTTTCACCAGGCAATAACCACTCCGCTGACTGCCGATTGGACTCCGGTGTGTAGTGATGGATCCATGTTTCATCCATTGTGACAAATCGATGCAAAAACTCCTTCTTATTACGGTTAAACAGGGCCAGATTTTGCTTTGAAAGTCGAACACGTTCCGCTTTTTGCTCAATTGTCAAAAAACGCGGCACCCAACGCGCGCAAAGCTTTTTCATGTGTAAATATTCATGAATGATATGACCAAAGCGTTCCTTTGAGATGCCTATGATGTTAGCTAGCTCACTCAATTTCATTTTGCGGTCATTCAACACGATTTCACTGATTTTCTGGATGTTTTCTGGAGTAACTGCCTCATTTGGCCTTCCTGAACGTGGTGCATCATTTGTGCTCGTACGGTTACGACAAAACTCAGTAAACCAATATTTGATGGTTGAATTCGGTGGGGCAGATGTGCCGTAACATTTATCAAGCCATGCCTTTGCTTCAACAGTGTTTTTTCCCATCAGCAAGCAATGTTTAATCAAAACACGAAATTCACTTTTTTCCATAGTAAAGATAAATTCAGAGGTAACGTCACTTCGAAAGCTATAACTTGTATACGAGACAACGAAATATCATGAAATTTTTATAGCATCTAAGTTAAGGTTGGTACTCTATAGGAAATATAAGGATTTTTAGTTTGTGGCGCCATCTATATGTCAGGCCAAAGACTTTTTAGCCTATGTAGTAAACAAGAGGAGAGATTAATAATTTCACTGGTAATGACTCATATACGGGCATCTTGAATAGCTCTGCTCATTTTCAACGGATTTGCAAGAAACTTGCTATATCCGTGTATTTTGGGTCGCTGATTATGAATCCGGAGTCAAATTTGAGAAATACAAAATGGTGAATCCAATATGACGGCTCCAAGTGACTAATTCCATTATGGAGAAAATCAAATTCGATATGTTGATGTTTTTCGGGTCGCTGATGATAAATCCAGAGTTTAAATTGCAAAATCTAAAATAGCGAATCCATTATAGCGGCTTCTAGTGACTAACGGTATCCATTATGGATACTTTCTTTGTTTTGTTAACAGGGGGGGATTCCTCATGGATATCCTCTTTGGGCGATGGGTGGGGTTATGCCGAACTCTTATTGGTTAAAACCCTCCCGGGGTGCTTGCCAGGCTGGCCGGAGTGGAACCGGGGGAACTACGCCAGCATTCCCTCCCCGATACTCCGGTCCTGGGGCTTTCCGGGAGCCCTTCGCCCAAGTGCCGTGCCCCGTCCGGTCGGGTAGGCCTCCGATTGGAGGAGAGAGAGGACACCTATCCTCTCTCCTAGCCCCCCTCGTTATTCAAGGGAGGCGGGGAATAGGGCCCGTCTCCAACCGGGACACCCATTCCCCTCTTCCTCCCTTACCGTCGCGCAGGGGGAGGTAGGCCCTAGTCCTGTCGCCCCCTCCTCCGCGGACGGAGACAGGCCCGGGGCAGTCGAGGCCCCCGAGGGATCGGGGGCGGATCCTCGACCGGCACCATCTTAGGCCTGCTGTCTAGACCGGGGAAGCGCCGCTCCGCCCTCTCCGTCATTCCCTGTGCGACGGATGCCAGGGTGGCGCTCCCATTCGGCGGCCTCCTTGCGGGACAAAACGTCCTCCACGAAGGAGGCCGCCGCCGACCAGACCTCCACACTCCTGCATATGGCTTTCACCAGATGCGGGAGGTCTTCCCTGGCGCAGTCTACCGCCTGGGCGAGGATACAGCGCTGCTGGTCCCATGCTTCGCAAGAGACCAGCGTATGTTGCGTCGTGTCCTCAAGCACCGGGCAGTGGTGGCATCGGGTGGTGGGCTCCTTTTGGATTTGGTGCAGGAATCGGCCAAAGCATCAATGGCCGATTATCAACTGCACCAGCCGGTACGTGAGTCCGCGTCCCCTCCTGCTCGCCATTTCGGCGAGACAGGGGCGGACAGATTCGGCCGTTAAAAGCCCGAATCTGCGAGGGTTGGCCAATATGGCTTCCCACCACACATAACTCGGGCTTTGGCCTGGGACTTCAGAGCTGCCTGCTCCCTGGCCGACACCACTTCCATCTCCTCATGCAGCTCCCGCATCCTCCAATACAGGGTGCATCGATCTTCGACGATGAGCTCCGCGGGGGGGAAGCTGGCCAGGGTCATCGCCGCCATGTACGATACGGTGCGGAACAGATAGATAGCCCTCACGACCACCGACCGCAACGCCTGGCGCATCATGCGCTTGTAGCGGTCGGTGGCTATAAGCTGGGCACCCGGATAGGCATCCCATAAAGGGCGACCGGATGGACCACACCCACGTACAAGCAGCGAGCGTGCCACCTAGGGCCCCCTGGGTCTGCATCAACCTGGCGAGAGACAGGCCGGCTTTTCTGACCTGGGGACCAACCACCTGAAGTGCGGCTCGAAGTCCCACCTGCTGTCCAACATCAGGCCCAGGTATTTCATGCTGGGTCCGATGCGGACGCCGACTTCGTCCACCGTAACCCGGGATTCTGACGGCGCCCCGCGGCTGCCGTCGTGAAAATAGACTGCTTTCGTCTTATGGGGCGTCACCCTGAGCCCCAAGCTTCTGATGGAGCTCACCACCGATGCCAGCGTTGCCTCCGCTCGGAGGCGGGTATCCCCCAGTCCTTCCCCCAGCTATCACTAGTGTGTCATCTGCATAGCAGATGACGTGACAGGCAGGGGAATCCATTATGGATACTCTTACCTCCGTTATTAGCTTTTTTTTATTTTTTACGAGGAGGAAATCCATCATGGATACCTTGACCCTCGGGGAAAGGCCAGGGTTATGCCGGACTCCTACCGGCTAAAACCTCCCCGGGTGGCGCTGCGAAGAGACTTGGATCGGGGCCCTGGTGCCTACGTAACTGCAATCGGGGCCCCGAGTCCAGATGCTGACTATTGTCATTTCCCCGAGGGGTGCTGGGGGAGGGGGAAGCGAGCCTAGGCTTACCTTCAACCTCCGCTCCCCCAGGGGAGGGGAAGCGAGCCCAGGCTCATCTTCAACCACTGCTTCCCCTGCACCCCTCACGCCTCGCCTTATTGGCTGGGAGGGGGAAGCCAGCCAAAGGGCCTGCGCTTCTACCACCGTTCCCAGCCGGATGGGGCGCCGCCATGATATCGTTGTGCGAACGTTTGATCCACCTTCTCAACCGGCCGCCCTGCGTTTGGAGGACTGGCTAGGGCACTGGGAGTTCCCGCCCAGTACCCCACCCTCCTGCCCGGAGGTTACGGGGGAAGAATAAAACCCCCTAGCCGCCGGACACACGAGCCTATAAAATCTGGTGAAAGGTTGGGATCCTTCCATTTTCCTACCTACTAAGTGGGCCTAAGGAGGTGAGAAGGGGATGAATTAGCGATAACGCTGCCGATCCACTCTCCCCCCCCTCACTGTCATCCGACTCCCGTCTTCGGGGTCGGCGAACGACTGGGGGGTGATTGGTCAGCCCATGATCTTGGCCTGCCCTGTACGACAGTGGCCTGCGACCCATCGTAGGTGACTGCCGTTCCTCTTCCCGCTACTGCTGCTGCTAGTGTCCTCCCCCTCCGCGATTTATTCTACGGGGAGGCATTACGCGAGTGGGGAGGGCTCTTCCGCAGGGCACTGGGTGGGGTTGGGAAGGAGGGAGAGGAAGGGATGGAGTTGCGAGGGGAGAGAGACGGGAGGTGTGGGAGGGGGTGGAGGATGGGGTGGTGGTGGAGGTATTCCCACCATGCCGCGGATCGCATCCTCTTCCGAGGAATCCGCGTCCCCTTCTCGGCTGGGGGAGTGGCGCTCTATACGACGGTACTGCCGCCTCCTCTGAGCCCGCCCTCTTCCTTCCGCGTGGCGGAGGATCTCTTCCGCTGCCTCCTTCTGCGACATTACACTTTCGCAGAAGGAGGCAAAAACGTCCCATTTTCTCTCACTCCCCAATATGGCAACGACCACTCTGGGGAGTGAGAAATCCGGACCCAATTCCCTGACCACGACTCCGCGCTCCGCTGTCCAGGCTGAACATTCCTGTAGCGTATGTTGCGCGGAGTCATGGTCATACTCGCAGTGGTGACACTGCGCTGTGCGTACTTTCCCAATCCTTTGCAGGTACTCACCGAAACATCCATGCCCAGTGAGTACCTGCGTCATTCTGAATGTCAGAGCCCCCGATGCCCTGTCTACCCATTCCGGGAGACAGGGCTGGACGGCCTCGACAGACTTCCTTCCATACCTGGCTTTCGCTAGGTTCCTCAGCCATCTTTGGAGGAGGTTCTGCCATTCCTGGTGCCTCATTCGTTGCATTTCCCCGGCGAGCGCTTCACCCCCTTCTTCTGAGCTCCCCCCTTTTCCTGTACGTAGAACGGTACATAAGAGCAAGGAACTCAAGGGGGCATGCCCGCCAAGGCCGTCGCCGCCACGTGGGATACTGTTTTATACCCTCGGATTACTCTGACCGCCACCGTCCTGTGTGCTCTGCGCAAGAGCGCTTGAAGTGGACGGTTGACGGCCAAAGCCTCTGGCTATACCGGCGCCCCATACAGGGCTACTGAATTAAGTACCCCAGCGTGGAAGCGACGTGCCTTCCTATCTGGTCCCCCGATATTTGACATCAAGTTTGACAGGTTGGCCGACACTACTCCGTTATTAGTTGGTGAAATATTATCACAAGCCCAGAGTGCCACGGGGAAGCTGCAGTAGGATTTTACACTCCGTTTTTCTTATCTTTTATTTATTTGTTTTTTTAATTTTTTTTATTTTTTATTTTTTGGTTTTTTGTTTTTAATTATTTAGTTGTCTGATTTAAAAATTTTTTATGCTTAATTTCCTGAAATATCGTTGTTCTAAAATATTTTTTGGGAAATAGAATTTATTATAAGAATTTATGGCTTTTGTAATAGTTCTTGAAACAAGATATTACGCATAATGGGGCTCCACCACAAATCTCACAGATTCATTTGCTTTCTCTTATCCTGTTTCTGGCAAAGGGTGGATCTCTTTCTAAAACTCTTATTTTCAATAAGTGATTCAGGAAATGTCTTCCGGAAAATCGGATTGGGTCTCCTAAATCATATTTCTCGTGATAAATAGATGACATCTTACCTTCGCAATGTTCAAGTAATTGGTAATTTGGTCTGAACTGCATTAGCGCCTTTTTTTCCAGGATGAGTAGTGTTATGTACCACGAAAGCATTGAAAATTGCGATATCGAGTAGATGGAAATAAGTCTTAATATACTAAGTGCGCAACTAAGTTTCCGGGTTTCACACATGGATAGCGCTAACGACACATGTAGTTGACATACATATCTGAAGTTGTGTTTTTTTATAGCTTGGATATCTGTTAACAATAACCAGTCGTAATACCAACACATATCGCAATGCAAAAATATTTTTTCTAACAACGAAGATGTCGAGTTTTGTGCCAAATAAACAGCATTTGCGGGAGGCTTTGCTTTTCTGCTTTAACTTGAAAAAAAGTACAGCTGAAGCACGTCGTTTGCTTGAGGAGGCCTACGGCGAACATGCATCATCGAAAACTACCTGTGAAGATTGGTTTAAACACTTCAGATGTGGCGATTTTGACACTGAGGACAAGGAGCGCTCCGGAAGACCAAAAACAATTGAGGACGCCGATCTGCAAGCGTTATTGGATGAAGATAATACGCAAACACAAGATCAACTTGCGGAGGCATTAAACATGACTCGCCAAGGTATTTCCAAATGTTTATATCCCATGGGAAAAATTCAAAAGGAAGGAAAATGGGTACCGCATAAGTTGACTGAGAGGCAGATGGAAAATCGAAGAGCCACTTCCGAAATTTTGCTTTTGCGGCATGAAAGAAAAAGTTTCCTGCATCGAATTATTACTGGCGATAAGAAATGGATATATTTTGAGAATCCCAAACGCAAAAAATCGTGACTTTCACCTGGCGAAGCATCAACATCGACGGCACGGACAAATCGCTTCGGAAAGAAGACAATGCTCTGCGTTTGGTGGAACCAGAAAGGAATCGTGTACTATGAGCTGCTGAAACCGGGCAAAACTGTCAATGGGTATCGCTACCGACAACTGATCAATTTGAACCATGCATTGCTCGAAAAATAGCCAGAATGGGACACGAGACACGAACGAGTGATATTGCGGCGCGACAACGCTCCGTGCCATCGCACTTCCATTGTCCAGGATACCATCAAAACGCTAAAATGGGATCTGGTACCGCACCCGCCGTATTCGGTACCAGACCTAGCCCCTTCCTATTATCACTTGCTCCGGTCGATGGCGCATGGCTTGGCTGGGCAACACTTGGCCAATTTCGAAGAAGTGCAAAATTGGTTGGATGAATGGTTTCGGTCCAAAGACGCGTCGTTTTATCGTCGCGGTATTCATGTGTTGCCAGAGAGATGGCAAAAATGTGTAGCTAGCGAGAGACGAGACTTTGAATAAACCATTTTTTGTATTTCTCTTGAAATTTTCCATTTTTCATTGATTAAAAAAACCCGGAAACTTAGTTGCGCACCTAGTAGAACGGATAAGTAAACAATATTGAAACAATATATTTTTTAAGAGTTCCATTCAAATCCTACCAAGATTATTATCTCACGTATAAGATAAGCTTTTGTCAACATATAGAGAATGATATGTCTTTATCCGCAGCATCCCTATCCCTTGGTACATACGTTACTATTTTTACATAAGCAAATTAATCTCTGCTCTTGCTTATATCTTATGTAATAAGTTGCAATGTCATTAGAATCAAGTTTTTCTTATTTTGCAGTATGGGAAAATATCAACTCGATAACAGATACAGTTATCAAATACAGCGTAATTCAAAATGACCTACTTATAGCGCGGCACCTATAGTTCTATGTAATTATCTCTATCTCTAAAAAATGTAATCACCTCCAGTTTTTATTATTATATGTGGATGAATTTACGATAGTCTTTATTTTTGCCCAAAGAACAACTTAAAAGTTGTTGAAAGTAATGTGGAAGGGGCAGGGGATTTCAAAAATTTTTCAATTTCGCAAAATTTGAACACACAGTTGCAAAGAGCATGAAATACATTACAACTTTCATATAAACCATATTTGCATATACCTCGTACTTCAAAAGATATATGCTGAAAATGAAAATGGTTTTTTTCCTTCGAAGGGTGGTTTCACCCTCTCAAACTGAAATTCCTCACGAACAAAAAATAGTTTTGCATTACGGATGAACTACTTTACTTCCACAAAAGTTTCAGAATTTTTTGAATTCCCGCGTTCCGTAACCTTCTTTGTAAGTGTCTTCAAGATGTCCTTCGCTAGTTTTGCAACATGTGGTCTAGTTAGCATTGTTGTGGAAAAGAATAATTTTGTCATGTTTTTTGGCATATTACGGGCGTTTTTCTTTGTGTGCTCGATTCAAATTATGTAATTATCGTCGATAGCGTTCAGCATTAATAGTTTGATTCGGTTGCAACAGCTCATAATACACTACACCGATTTGGTCCCATTAAATACACAACATGACTTTTTTTCCATAAATATCCTGTTGTGGCGTTGATGTTGAGGGAACGTCCCAGATGCGTACAGAATAAAACGGACAAAGCAGGTTGAATGAATCGGACACAGTGACAAACGGACACAGTAAAAACGAATGTGTCCGATTGCAACCGTCTGTCCTTTTCTTATTATATCCGTTTCTTACTATGTCCGATTGTCACTGTATTCGTTTGTTACTGTGTCCGTTTGTCACTGTGTTTCTTACTGTGTCCAATTGCAACCATCGTATGTCCATTTGTTACTGTGTCCGTTTCTTACTGTGTCCAATTATAACCATCGAGTGTCTGTTTCTTACTGTGTCCGTCTTTTACTGTGGCCGTTAGTTTTACTATGTCCGATTAATTCAACCTGCTTTGTCCGTTTTATTCTGTGCACATCTGGGACTCATTCGCAACATCGAAGTTGTTACACGCACTGCAGCTACAGCGATTAAAAATTGTGTTCAAATTGATTATAAGACTATGGACATTTTTAAACTTTAATTATCTCGCAAACAGTACGTAGTGTCCCTTTATGAGTCTCATCGTTCTCGAGAAAAATGGCCCAAGAAAGTATCAATTTCAACCATGCTACATTCGTAGTTTTCCCGACTTTAACGTGATATATACTATCTGATGATCAATTATTGCCAATTACTAGTTCGTTCTCATAAAGTTAATCAGTATACAGGGTATATCAGGGTACGATAAAAGTACCAGACCGGTGAAATATCTCAAAAACAAGACATTAAAAAAAAAAATGTTTCATACAAAAGTTGTAGAGTTTAAAAAATACATCAAAAGCTGATATTTATTTGACGATGAGCATATGCTTAAAGGGGCTCTCAAATTTAGGTTGAATTTTTTAAATAGAACGCTCAATTTTCCATCGTATATTCTTGTAACATATCTAGAGAGATTTTCAAAACACTATAAGAAAATTATTTTTCGTTAAGTATTTTCCGAGATATGAGTTGATGAAATGCAAGTAACTCTGGCATTAGCATGGCATTATCCAAGATGTACCGCATGGAGGTAGCTTGGTGTGTGTCCATGTGCACGTGCATGCATGTATGTGTGTGTATGTGTGTGTGTGTATATGCATGCGTGCGTGCATGCTTGTGCGCAAGTTCCAGCAACACGCTGTTGGTGGGGATACGCTTGTAAGCTCCTGCAACATGCTGTTAGTGGGAATACGTTTTACGCTGCATCCGTTAACTTAGCAGCTCCATCACGAGAACTTGAATTCGGATATGTTGCATAATTAAGTGCTAATTAGTTGCCATAATCCCGAATTTGTTGCTTCTACCCATTCGCAGGAATTTAAAGGTGGTGGTACTGGCTTGACGTTACGCTAGCATCCCCCCCACTGAAAACTAACAAAAATAAATTCGGATCTATTGTAAAATTAAGTGCTAATTAATTGCTAATTAATTGCTGTAGTCCCGAATTTCTTGCTGCTGCCCAATCGCTGGAATTTATTGTGTTTTCGCTGTCGTAAGTGATCCACTTTTCATCACCAGTGACCAACCGCTTCAGAAATGGGTCGATTTTGTTGCGATTCAGCAGCGATTCGCAGATGGAAATTCGGTCCATGAGGTTTTTTTGCGTTAACTCGTGTGGCACCCATACATCGAGCCTCTTTTTGTATCCAGCCTTATTCAAATGGTTCCAAACGGTTTTTTGTGCAATCTTTAGCTTTTGGGCAATCGAAACAGTGCTTACATGACGGTCGGATTCGACAATGTCCATGATTTTATCGATATTTCCGACAATTGGCCTTCCAGTGCGTGGTGCATCTTTGACATCGAAATTACCGGAATGGAATCGACGAAACCAAAATTGCGCGTGATTGGCTGTTACAGTATCAGGATCATAAACACTATTCACATTTTCAGCCGCCTGGCTTGCGTTTTCGCCTTTATCGAAGAAAAACTGTAAAATACAGCGTATTTTCTCTTTGCTAGTGTCCATCTTTGACGCGCGCTCAAATAAAACTGAGTCAACTAATCACAAAACTGTCAGAAAAGTTTTTTTAGTACGAAATCTCATCTTTCTAACGCCATCTAGAACCCGATCGGACTTATACAACGCGAGATACAGATAACTAAAGCCATCTATTGGAAAAATAATGGATTTCTTTTACACCTGATATATAGACGGCTAAAAATCAACATATTTTTCGGAAATTTTTTGTGAAGCACGTAACAAACATATCATTTTCAAATTTGAGGTACGTTTCATTTTACATTTCTGCTACTTAAAAATTTTGTTTTTAGAATTTTAATATTTAAATTGTTAAAAGTATAAATAATTTTGTCGACCCTTTCAAAAAACATGCCGTGCAAAGTATAGCCTGCAGCATTCACCTGAAATCAAAAAATAAAAAAAAACTTTAATTTATTAGTATACGCTCAGCATGAATGTACTTATTAATTAAAAAATGCGAAATTGCAAAAATGATGACAAAACAAACATTTTTGTCTTTATAAATTGCTCATAATTGCTAAAAAACAATTGCTTAATGCAAAAATATTTATAAACCAAAACATTCATGCTGTGAAGAACATCTTAAGCAATATGTATACGAAAGGAGAAGTCAATCGGTTAAATAGTTTTGTTCCCGTCTGGTTCCGCCGACGGTGACCGCACGGTATCGCACAGCGCTGTGCGCGGAGGGCGCAAATACGCGATCTTTAATCGCTATAAGTGCAGGAGAACAGGGAAACCGATCGCGCAAAATTACGCTTAAACTGAGTTTATTCTTATTTACAACAAACAGCTATATCCGGCGGCGAACAATTTTGCGATCGCGCGGAAATCTTGATGCACCTTTTTCAGCTTGTAAGGCGCGGACGGAGATCTTGGAAAGCATCTGACTGGACGCCCGATCGACGGAAATCTTCGCTGTAGACCGGCGGACATAAGGTGTTGCGCGACAAGCGGTGCTCGCGGACGCGACGTTCACCAACGGCGCACGGAAAATGGATATAATTTCACCTAGTATAATACAAGACACAAAGTAAAACAAGTTAAACGCGTTGAGTGTCCGATGTATTGATGGGTACGCGATCGAGCGTCGGAGAGTGGCGTGCAAACCAGGCGCGTAGAACAGAGAGCAACTTCACGAAATCGTAATTGAGTGTAACGATGCAGCCACGACGAAAATAAACATTGATCGCGCGAACAGAAAACGAGTGAAGCTCTTGCCCGCCCGTTGAGATCGGAAGAAAAGACCGCTCGGGAGAAAAGACAAATAAGCAGAGAACGAAGAGAATCTTCGGTCTCACTTATATCTTTTTGCAGCTCTAGCTGGCAGATAATGATTGGCTGTAACTTGTTCACGCCGTGATCGCATGTTTGGGGTCTGCTCAGCATAGACGGCTAACGCGGGAATAAACATTGTTTTGAGAAACGTTCCTCGCTGAGGATCTCGTGGACCAACGTTCGGCGACGAGATTTCCGCTAGCGCTGAGCACGTATCGATCACGCGTGAGCTTCGTGATATTGAAGCTAGAAAAATCTTTGGATTCTTCCAAAAAACTTTTTTTGGTAACGCAGGGGAAATCCATTATGGATACCCCTGACCCTTGGGGGGGTCGGAGGTTATGTCGGACTCTTACCGACTAAAACCCCTGCGGGATGTCTACCTGTCGGACCGGTAATGTGGGGAGTCAGAGAAACTGCTCCCGCATTCCCTCCCCGACACCCCGGCCCTAGGGCTTCCTTTCGGGAGCCCCCCCCCCTCGCCATCTATGTACCATGCCCTGTTCCGCAAAGGGAATCCAGGGCACGGTCCCCGGTCGGTGCTGACCGACCGGTTGGCCTTCTGGTGTCACCTATAACGGAGAGAGGGGACATCCAACCTCCCTCCTTACCCCCCTCCCTGTTAGTCAGGGAGGGAGGGTTTCTAGGGGAGTGGGCCCGTCCCCAAACAGGGTGCCACTCCCCCTTGTCCCTACCTGTCGGTCGCGCAGGGGGATCCGAATTATACACCGTAGAATTCCCGGATCCCCCTGCGGACGGAGGCGGGCCCGAGGCGGCCGAGGAGGGCTTGGACCCCCGCTATCCAGGGGTCCTTCCTCTTCCTCGGCCGATGCCACCTCTGGCCCGCTACCCATTCCCCCCCCCCATCCGGGGAGCGCCGACCACCCCGATGCATCCTGTGTCGAATTCCTGGTCGGCGCTCCCACTCGGCGGCCTCCTTCTTGGACAACACGTCCCTGCAGAAGGAGGCCGCCGCTTCCCATACCTCCTCGCTCCCGCACATAGCCTGGACCAGGTACGGGAGCGAGATGTCCCCCTTATGACACCCCACCGCCCCGGCCAGAACACGGCACTTCTCCCTCCAGGCTGGACAAGCAGCCAGAGTATGGAACGCGGTGTCCATCAGCACGGGGCTGTAGTGGCACCGGGTGGTGGGCTCTTTGCCTATCTGGTGCAGGTACTTACCGAAGCATCCGTGGCCCGTCAGCACCTGCACCAGATGGAAAGACATTCCACATCCCCTCCTGCCCGCCAACTCTGGCAGGCAGGGGCGGACAGCCTCAGCCGTCTCGCACCCGTACGATCGTGGGTCAGACAAAATGTCCCCCCATATCCCCAGGGTACGGGCCACGGCCTGGGACTTCAGGGCCCGTAGGTCCCTGGTCGTCAACTTTCCCTCCTCACGGAGCTCCTTGATTCTCCAATAGAGAACCCGCCTCTCCTCGGCGAGGAGCTTCACGGGAGGGGACCCGGCCAGGGTGATCGCCGCCATGTATGATATTGTGCTGAACTCCCTGATCGCCCTTATGTACATGGGCTTCAGCGCCTGCCGCATTTGGCGTATACCATCGCGGCAGGCGCGGAGCTGGGGCGCCCATATCGGCGCCCCGTACAGGGCGATCGAGAGAACAGCACTCACATAAGGCGGCGAGCCCTCCATCCTGGACCTCCTTGGTTGCGCAGGAGACTGGCCACCACTAGCCTAGTCCCGCGCACCCTGGGGGCCAGTTGCCTGAAATGCGGGCCATAGTCCCACTGGCTGTCCAACGTCAGGTTGAGATATTTTATCGTCGGCCCGACGCGGATGTAGACGCCATCGACCAGGATCCGTGTCTCAGGGGCGTCCCTCGACTGCCGTCGTGAAAGAACACGGCTTCGGTCTTTTGGGACGCCACCCTGAGACCTAGGTCCGCGATGGTTCCCACCACCGATGCCACCGCCATTTTCGCTCGGCGGGCTTCCCCCCAGCTCTTCCTCCCGGCCGCCGCGGAGCACACGGCTACCCCTTCTCTCGACGTCAAGGCGAGCCGCTACAGCCCTCAGGTTGTCGAGCTCCGCCCTGACGCCGGCCAAAGAGAACGTAGCGGCCAAGGCGCCGTTTCGCAAAGGGGCCAAGGGCCCCTTTCGCCCCCCTCGGTCTCCGCACTGGCGGGGTCTCCTCCGGGAGGTTGTCGTTGTACGATGGTACCTCCTCAGGGAAAACCCCCTTCCCCTTCTTCATCTCCTCTTCTCTAGGGGGGGGGAAGACGAGGAGCGTTTCCTCGTCTTCCTCTTCTTCATTCTCTTCCTCTCCATCGTCCGAGCGTCCCTCAGCTCCTCCTCCGTCGACGTTGAATCCCCGGTCGCATCCGCGTAGGTCCTCCTCCTGGAACTGACTAGGAGAGGGGAAAACTCGCGGAGGTTAGGGACCGAGACAGCAGAGGCCTTGAGAGCCCTCAGCTCTTCCGTCAACCGCCTCGTCTCAACCCTCAACCTCCTGTTGTCCTCCCTTAGACCCTGCATCTCCCTCCTTCTTCCGGAGGTTTCGTCCTCCATCCCATCCTACTCCGCCATCCTGGCGATCAATGTGGCCATCACCGCCTCGGAGATGGCTACAGCACGATTTATCAGTCCCACAAAGGTCCCTTTTAAAATTCGGGACCTCCGTACGACCAGTTTAACCGCGCCCAACGCGCGGCCAGCCTCCGAGGCTAGCTCAGAAGCCCTGGCCCCCCTTAGGAGCTCAGCAGAGGCAGTGTCCCGATAGACCTCCTCGGCCGGGCATGTGTCGTCCATTGAACGAAACAGGCCCCTGCCGAGGAGGTCCCAGGCCTCCCTCTCCAATCTCTCCAGCTCCATCTCTCTCTTTCTCTCCTCCTTCTCTCTCCTCTCCCTGATAGCCACCCCTTTTCCCGTTGTAGCGGGTCTCCCCCGCTACTTCGGGATGGATATCAGGAAAGGGACGAGGACCTCCATTATGGACGAGCCGCCACTGTTGGTGGTACCCGCCCTGGCCCTCTTCCTGCCGCCGCTAGTCTTGGCGGCTCCTCCTTCCATACACCCCGTCGTCCTCGATGTTGACGCCAGGACTGCTGCGCTAGTATCCGCCGCCTTCAGTGTCGCTGCCGGGAGGCCCTCAGAGTCGAGGCCCGGTTGGACCTGACAGCCCCACCGGTCATCCCCGAGATTGAAGCTCTAGCAGCTTCGCTCGCATCACTCGTTGCCCTTAACGTCGAGGGCCGAACAGTCCTCGATGCCAGGGTCTGAGCGACCCTACTGTTGCCTGGAATTGGGATTCTGGAACCTTGTGAAAGTATTATGTCGAAGCGGATTACGGGACTCCAAGTCCTCCGCTCCGACACCGCAACCCCTTTCTCGGCTCCTTCACACCCCCTCCCTGATCCCTTCTTTTCTTCTCCCCCCTTTTCCTCAGTAAAGGTCCCCTCCTGTGTCCTCCGGGTGTCAATGGGGGCAGACTCCCTCCTTACCTTCGTAAAGAGGGGGCCCGGCCTGTTGGTCCTTGGTATCGGGATCTTGGTCCCAGACCCCAGGGACTTCGTGGTCCCACGATGGGTGGCCGCCCTTAACCTAGCTGAAGGGCTCACCTCTCTACCCCCGCGGTCAGGGGAGAGCCCTTCGCGCCGGCGAGGACAGTGGTTGGTCCTCTGTTAATGACTCCTCGGGGGCTAGTCCCCCGAAGTCCATGGCCTTACCCTCTTCAGGGGGTGAGGAGGAGGCACCCGCTAGCCGGATACCTTCCACCTCTTCTTCTTCGCCCAAACTATCATCGGAAAAATCACTCCCTACCGGGGGTGGTAAGCTCTGAGCCGGGCTGCTACGCCCGTCTGTACGGAGCTTTGAGCCCAAAGGCTCTGAGCCCGAAAGCTCGGAGTTTGTGTTAAAAATTTTGGAATCCATATAGAGTCCCACGAGTACGGCGGGAAAGGGGCGTCAATCCCGGGTAGACCCCCGCATTACCCGGGATAAGGCTAGCATGTCCCCGTGGTTCGCCAGGTTCCACGGGTGAGGAACCACTAACGACAGGTCACGCACCTGCCATTCATCCCATAGGCGTGGCATTCATCAACCGTAGGATTACGTGGTGTTTTATACAGGACTTGCCTCGCGGTCCAGCCGGTTAAGGCAAGACCCCCGGCTCCAGAGACATGACCTAGGGTTACGATGTAATAGGCTAGGGTACGCCGGGGTTCGCCTGGATCCCCCGTACCAGGATGCCAAACACCCTGGCCCCTGACGTCCACCCACCTTCCCACCCTTGTCCCCCCACCCCGAAACCCACCTTCCCTGAAACCGTGGTGCTCTTAACAGGCGATCCTCCCCACCGGGCCCTCCCTTCGGTTGGACCGAAGGTACTACCCCAGTGGATCACGGGTACGCCTGTGTCTCTTCACCACGACAAGATGGCACCACATCGAGGAGGTCTTCCAGAAAACTAGCTGGAGACTAAGTGTCCTTTTCGGCCGGATATCAAGTGGTGACATCCACCGTTCCTCTTGCACCGCTCCGCGCTCAACAGCTGAGGCGACGATCGTGGATCGCTCAGGCCCGTCGCTACGTAAGATGTCAGCTGGAGCGTACCCTCGTGTTTTATTATAATTATGATTTTTTCCTCCCTTAATAATCGCTTTGGAATATATATGTTTATGTGTTTTAAACACACATCCATTTATATATATATACAGGGTGAAGAAAAAACCCCGGGACCCCTGAAAATTTCGAAAAATATACACTTTATAAAAAAAGTTTCAGACAAAACTTGTAGCGTTGAGAAAGATATATTTACCGATCTTAACAATTTGACCTTGGATGGCATCATCAAGGTTAAGACAAGGTCACCTCGGATTTTTTAAACAGAACCCCCAATTTTTTATTGCACGTGCTTATAACCCTTCTTCAGACCTTTTCAAAGCACTGTGGTTTTATTGAATTTGAATAAGCTGTTCCGAAGTTATCGAGTTTTTTTAAGTAAGATATTGTTGCGCTCACTCTCGCACTCGCGCTTGCACTCAGGTAAATGAAAACACCCGCGTAACAACTAATTAAGCCTTAGGCATCTGATGCTGATTTTGACAACTGAGTGAGGATTGTCCTGACGACGAAAAGTCGATAAGAAGAAAATAACAACAGCTGACGGAGAGTTTCTGGCAAGCTATCACCATTGACAGACGCGAGTCTTGTAAAACAGAGAGTTATTTCTGTAAAAAGCTTGAAAGAACGGTACTGTAAATAGTAAAGCTTATTAGTTGTTACGCGGGTGTTTTCATTTACCCGAGTGCAAGCGCGAGTGCGAGAGTGAGCGCCACATTCTGGGGGCTCGTCCAGGATAAATCGCGTTATTTTAAGATTCGCGATTAATGTGTGATGAATGGCCCAGCGAGTGACAAGAAAGCGGCAGCATCTCGACGAGAAGATGGAATCAGAGGCTGGAGCGGCGTGTTTTTCGGGCGCGGGGGAGAATGTGATGCGGGAGATGATGAAGGAGCTGCGACAACTCCGAGCAGAAAGGGAACGAGAGCGACAAAAGCTGCAGGAGTTGCGGAGTCAGCTGACTGCGGTCGGAGAACCAACACAGCTAAGTCACCCTCAAAATCATGCTTCTTCCGTTAGAAACATTAAAGCCCGATATTTATGACGGGACGGTTCCGCTACGCGAATATAGAGGGCAATTTGAATTAATCGCACGAGCTAACGGATGGGATGATTTGAGAAAATCGGTGCAGCTGGCAGCACATTTACGTGGAAAGGCAAGCTCGGTTTTAGATTCATGGAACGAAGAAAAGACCTTTGCAGAATTAAGGAATAGGTTGGAATTACGATTTGGGGATTGGGGAAATTTCCAAAATTCATACACGCAATTTTCCAATCGAAAACAGAAATTGGGTGAAGACTTCGCTACACTGGGGGAAAGTTAGAAAGATTAGCTCGTCTCGCCTATCCGGAGTGTTCAGTGGAAGTTCGGGATAAAATTTCATGTGTACAATTTATCGCGGCAATATCCGAGGTTTTGTTAAACAAACTTTGCAATTAGAGCATGTTACATCTTTGAAAACCGCAATAGAACGAGCGATGACAGTTCGAGCAATTCAGGAAACGATTTTTTCCCCGGAGAAACGAAAAATGTGAGTCATTGCGGAGAATCGAGTTAAATGATGGGCAGAAAGATTTCTTCCGGAAAGCGGAAAACAGAGAAAATATTGAAAAAACAAATTACGGGACGGAAATTGTTAATGCGGGGACGCGTTCGGGAAGTTTCAATAACTTGCGACGGAATAAGAAGTCGAATTTCAATGAGGACAAGAGGGAATGTTGGAATTGTGGAAAGAAAGGACATTTTCGGGCGGAATGTCCAGCATTACAATTAAATGGGCAGTCAAACTAGGATTTGCCGAGTTAGCCGGGATGATTCGGCAGAGCGAAGCAAAATCCTAGACGAGCCCCCAAAATGTTGCGCTCACTCTCGCACTCGCGCTTGCACTCGGGTAAATGAAAATACCCGCGTAACAACTAATAAGCTTTACTATTTACAGCACCGTTCTTTCAAGCTCTTTTACAGAAATAACTCTCTGGTTTACAAGACTCGCGTCTATCAATGGTGACAGTTTGCCAGAAACTCTCCGTCAGCTGTTGTTATTTTCTTCTTATCGACTTTTCGTCGTCAGG